TTGAGATGCTTCAGAAATTCTATCAGAACTAGTTGTAATTTAGACAAATCAAATTAGCTGATTGTTGTATTCACAGAGCAGGGTAATTACTGTCAGTAATAGCGATGTCATAAAAGCTCGGGGGGGGGGGGGGTCCCTCTTTAAATAACTAATTTAATAAATGACTCCTACATGATTTAATCTAACTTTAACAGAATTACAGTGTACACTTTGCAGCACTGGTCTCATGTTGGTGTCCAAAGAATGGAGATGATCAACATTTCCAGTGGGTTTTTATACCTCAGTGATATCAGTGAACCATGTGTCACAAAAAAGCTGCCCCTCCTTGTTCCTGATTGATCCTAATACCACAATTATATATCTGTTTTTGCCTTTGATAAAATAGCTATTATTATTATTATTATTATTATTATTATTATTATTATTATTATTATTATTATTATTATTATTATTATTATTATTATTATTATCCATATAGGTTCGCCCCATTCTTTTCTCCTAACATTGTTGCTTTTGATTGTTGCTTATTATTTATCCTGACTCCTGAGGGAGATGAAATACAACATTAGAAATGAAATATTTTACTATCTATAATTAATGTATACATGTCTATTATATTCAACAACCTGAGTATTTTAGGGTTTAAGAAGTATTTTTATAGATAGATAAAGACTTTTCCTAACAGCAAAAAATGCTTCTTCATTCTTTCATTGACATGTGCCGCATTTAAACTCTAATCCTACAGAAAACATTTAAGAAGCAGTTAAGTGCTTAGGTCTAAGGTGTAGATGCAACCTGAAGCAGGAAAGCAGTCCTTAAAAGGTCAAATCCACTGAAAATCGTTTCACAGATGCTGTCCATCCCAACCAACTGAGATTATGTTGATTTGTATCAGCAATGGAAAAAACTCTTGTTTTATAGTCTGATCAAAACTTTAAGCCTGAAGATATGTTAAACTTACAGGTGGGATTAATACAAAATAACATATTAAATACTGTTATTGGAGCATGAAAAAATCTGGGAATATTTAAACGGAGGAAAAAAAAAAAATGCTGAGAACAAATTTCTCAAAAAGCGACTCAAGGAACAGATTAAAACACTAAGTATCTACAAACAAAATAATGTCCTCTTTAAAGCTAAATTAAGTTTTACATATAAATCACTGATGTAAACACATATTGTCTTGTAGTGGAAATAAAAAGAATTGTATTTCAAACTCTTCTCATTGGATTTTATAAGTACTAGTGGTGTTGACCTTTATTTAGATCTTTAAACAGGTGAGGCCCAACATGTGGATCTCTGTAATAATACTAAATCTGAACAAACAAGGACATTTTACTTGTTTGACCCTTAAAATACAGAACAAAAAGGTAAACACATCGTCATGCTATAGAATACATTTCACTAATACAATACAGCAAAAGATTCATATTTGAGGGATTTTACAACTCCTGGGTTTTCTTGATACGTATGCATCTAAAAAACAGATAATGCAAAGTTAGTCCTTGCTTTAATAAACCCTGTTTCTGTGTTTTTTTTCTCCAGATTTCACCGGCTTACACTGTTTGAAGAAAATATCATAACTAAGATGTTTTACAACCCTATTTTATTTGTTCTGTTTTACAGATTTCACTGTATAACCAATTTACCAATTATCAATTTTACAGCCCCTGCTGGTGTTGTTGCAAAATTAGCAGAAAACCAAAAAAAAAAAAAAAAACACCTTTAAAGGACACCCAGAAACATGTATAAAACATGCCCCCCTGGAAGAACCAGATCTGTCACAGGTATTCCAACATAAGAACTTAGTCTATACGAAGTGAAGCGAAATGTGAAAAGAAAGGGGAGCCTCAGAAGGTGGGGTGGGGGGGTGTAGGGAGTAAAATAAGCGAAAAGAATGTGTGAAAGCTGGGGTACAAATGTGGTAATGAGAACCAGGAGAAAATCTAAGTGTAAATGAGTAGGATATAGGGGAGAAAAGTGCAAAAATTCATATGGTGAGTAAAGTGTAAAAAAAAAAAAAAAAAAAAAAGCATGTTAAAATTATCAGTGGTGAAACTGCTTCCATGTGGCCAAATGTTTTTCCCTTAAAGCAGAGAGTAAAGGTTAGAACGAATGGCAAGTCAGGGTGAAATTACATCTGTGAAGTCTCTGAAGTCTGTGTTTATCAATACTCATCTGGCCATAGCCTCTGTCTCTCCTTATGGCACCTTTTGAGCTCAGAAGTCTCAAAATACTATTGTCCTGTCAGCCTGATGGGAGCTCATTTGGGACCGGGCTCAGAAGTTTGCAGAACATCTGGCGATGATCAAGACCTGCTTCATCCTGAGCTAAAGCCAGCTCCAGAAGCTGGACCTTTATGAAGTTATAGACATGGACATGCAGGTCAATCCACTGCAACAGCAGCTAATTAGGATGCCAAAAACGATGCCACAAAATCAAACACATCACATCTACATGAGCTGACAATGACAGCCAAGTGTTTCCTTTTACACAAGTCTGACTCATTTTGAGCAAAGTGGTCAAAGATGGCTTCCTTTGCAGAGCACAGCCAGAGCAAACATAGGATGACAGGTGGAAGTGTGGGTTGTAAATGGTTTATAAATGGGTGTCAAGATGATGAACAGCTCCTCTGGGACCTCAGGGACCCTTTGATCTACAGTGCAGTAAGCAGGGAGAAGTACACTGTGTGAAGCTGATCATCAGTCTTTTTGTGTTCTGGTTCATTTATCGACGGTATATACATCAGGCCATCTGCATGAGGGGCTCAACTTCAGCAGGGATGAAGATCACCGTTTAAGGATTGGAATGAAGGTTTGCAATCACTTTAAATCCTCAACCTCGTTGCTGCCACTTTGTAACGTGTGTAGGCTCCAATTCACCATCTACCACAGTAGTTTAGTAAAAGGCCTCAAACCAGTTGCCCAGCTTTAAAAATTATACTTTAAAGTTATCTTAGTCCTCACACTTTCAAAAAAAATTATTCCTTTTACAACTTAACTACTGTGCTGATTTAACGTTTGCTATGTACCAGCCACAAATATCATATCCAGAACTATCTGGATCTTAAAACTACTAACCAAGAATTTAGATACAGTTCTCATATATAGAATAGTGTGTTTTCTTTAGAGTTCCAGCTTTTTTCATACATGTTATTGTAAATCATTAATTAATGCCAAAGACAAATCTTCCTGATGTCTCTAGTGGCATCATGTGTAATATACCCAAATTATTTTTAGTATTTTCCATGTTACTGTCTATTATGTATTTTTGAGCCATAATTAAAAGCACTGCATTAATTTCAAAGACTTAGAAATGGGGATATCTGTGGACTGCAACAAGCTGTCCCCACCTTACAGAGCAGTTTATCTCCTTAATATTATTAAGGAAGAAAGAAATGATAAGTCCAATGCCAGAGTTCTACTCGAGATGATACAAGCAGAGCACACCAGTTAGTAACTCAACGACTTGTGCATGTGCACACAAACAATCCGATAGCAAAAGCCAAACAGCAACTAACACAAATTGTTAAAAATTATTGTAATTTGAGAAAGTATAGTCAAACTACATCTCAAATGCATGGGTTCCTTCAACTCGTATGGCTCTGAATCAGTGATAAAGTCTTGTAAAAATCACTTGTCTGTCATCATTTTAAGTGAAATTTCTCTGTGTCTGTGAGTCCTGTGATGTCATCAATCTAAATGCACACATAGGAGGATAAGCAGTTTTATTTTCTCCAATAAGCTTTTAAATATTGTTAAATCCAAACATGAAAAATTCATTGTCCCCCAGTAAACAGCTGGTCTCAGAAGATGAGTTCAAACAAATGTTGAATAGCTTAGATTAGGAAACCTCTGCTTTGCTCAATGTCTAATCTGTCGACAAATAGCGTGTGGACAGATTCAAATATTTTCAGTTTCATTATGACCCAAGGTGGGTACAGTAGTAGTTGATTACTTTATTGCTGTTCTATTAGTATGTGTGAATTTTCTTTTTAGAACAGTTTCACTGCACTATAATTTGATCTCCTTTTTAAATGCCATTTACAGTGAAGATTTGTATCAGTTTTTGTTGGTCTGGTTACTGGTTATAATAAGGAAAGCTTAACTAAAGAAAATGTGTCTTTTTTACCAAATACAGGTTCATGTTTTTGAACGACAACGTTTGAAATAGTGATTTCATTTAGTATTAGGTAATTCCATCCACCTGAAGCTTTCAGAAGAAATTTTATATCCTAACACATCTTATCAGCTACTTTTGAAAAAAAAAAAAACAAATATATATATATTTGTTTTATTATTCTTAACCCTTTAAAGTGCACTCAGTGAAATTCTTTGAAAAACCCAAATTTCAAGCCAATAGTGTTATTAGAATCCAGGACAAGGCGTTATTACCTTTTTAACATTCAAAAAATATGGATATTTTGATGGCAAAAATTTATGTTAATGTCTATCAATCCATCCATCCATCCACTTTGCCCGAATATATTAAGAAAAATAACAAAAGTGCTTCTATAAGAAAGTCAAGAAAAACACTCTGAAGCGAAAAAAGACATTTTGGGGTACAACATAACCTTAGAAGCATTAATACTGATACTTGCACTTAATTTTTTTAGTTTATAAACCATAATGTAATTGTTAACCAGGCATATAAACTTTTTAACTTTCCAATTAGCTTTTTAACATTTTTTTCTTGACTTGTTAACTCTCTTATCAAATTAATTTCTAGTAGGTAATATTTCATTCAAGGGCTCATCTAATTGTTTAAATGCCAAAGTAAGATTTACAGTCATGTAGCAGGATCTTTGCTGAATGGCTGGATATAGATCTTGTGCTTCTAGACCTCACTGAGAGACGGGGGGCTAAACAATTTAAAGCAAGTTTAACATTTTAGACACTTTAAATTATTTAGGACATTTTATAGTTTTATACATAATAAGTCCTAAATGTTCCTTTAAAACGCATCTGTAATCATATAAACCAGTTGTTAAAGCAGCCTACCTGTACCACTCCAGCCCTCGGTCATAAAACCTGTCGAAGAAGTGGGGCTCTGCGCCAAACGCCCTCACGTCTGGATGGATGCGCAGAAACTCCAGCAGGGCGCGGGTTCCTCCTTTCTTTACGCCAATTATTATCGCCTTTGGAAGCCTTTTGGTCCCATAGTTGTTGGCAACAGGGATGCTGTTTGGTTCCCTCTCGCTGCCTTGCTCGTACTGCTGAAGCTGCTTCTCTGCGTCCACCTGCGGCGCGTCTGGAGAGGCTGTCTTGTTGTGGAGCTGCGCAAGAACAGCTGGCCGCATATTTACCAACACCTGGCTGCGATCTTCCAGGTCGTCATAGTCTCCGTCAGTTTCTTTGCTAAATAAAGTCCTCGGAGCCGAATCGCATAATCCAGTTAGACAGTAGAAAAAATAAGTAAATATTAGGACCATGGTGAAGAACACGGAGACTTTGGAGAGCACTTTCCCCAAGTTAAACCTGACTCTGCAGCCACCACATCCCATGAGTTGATCTCCTTCTGAACCGCAAAGGAGGGAAATCTAGACAACATGCTTCTTCCACCTACATGGATCGGAGTAAAATCTGTGAGGCAGAACCTGTTGCGCAAATAGTGAGAACTTCCCTCAGCGCTCCATTTGACAGGGAGGATGTTTCTAAATACAAGTTAACAACGCTTGTCAGCTAAAAAAATGAATGTCCGCACAAAATCATATTCAACCGGTGATCATTTTTGTTGAAAGAGGCTTGTTTTTATGCTGATACCTCCCAGCCTCTGGTGCGCTCTGAGGTGTCCACTCCTTCTCCCCTGCGCTCTTCATTCGTCCCTAAAGTCGACACGCCTTCCTAGTCTCCACCCTTCACTCCTGATGGCCGATGACAGGTTTTAAAAATGGTGATGCTTTCTAGCGTAAAACACACTTTAGTTTTTTTCCCCCTTTACATTACATTCTGTAGACTCACAGTTGTCAAGTGGATCCTGGACTTCTTCATATGTTTAGGTCTCCACAAACCTATCTGCTTTTTTCAGGAGTTATAAATATCTGCAAAGGAACAGGGACATTTTACACATTTCAAAATGTTTCTAAAAATAAAAACAAATCTGAAAAGTGTGGTGGACATTTGGAATTAGCCTTATTTGTTCTGATAACCCTAAATAAACAAGGCACTAGGATGAAAACAAAGGAAGACTTTCAAAAGATGTAAAAAAAATGTATGCAGTCCTACAAATTGATATATTTTACCCTTTACTTTAATTACAGCTGCTGGTCTTCTGAATTGGTTTTTTTCCTTCTTATGCATTCATCCATCTATCCATTTTCTAGCACGCTTATCCCGAGTGGGGTTGCGAGGGGTGCTGGTGCCTATCTCCAGCAGTCAATGGGTGAGAGGCGGGGTACACCCTGATGTTGTACCCACAAACAACCATTCACGCACACACTCAAACCTAAAGGGACTGTAGAGAAGCCAATTAACCTAACAGTCATGTATTTGGACTGTGGGAGGAAGCCGGAGTACCCAGAGAGAATCCACGCATGCTTGAGAAACAACTGTCTTGGAAATTTCACTTGCATGTGCATATATAAAAAAAAAAAAAAAAAAACTAATATTTTGAAATGTTTCCACTGTGAGTTCTGGTTTCAAAAACACATTTTTTTTCCCCCAAAAATGTAGAGGAGACACTCTGGACACAACATCTAAACGACATAATATCTATGCAGATTCACCTACGCTCAGCTCCATTTGGGAAGGATCCTACAAACATCAATATTTTTATGAGGCTGGACTATTCTGGACCATTTTCACACTTTTTATACATGGATCTAAACATTTCCACTGTAGCTCTGCATGGCTAAATGTTTCGGTTGATTGTCAAATTGAAAGATAAATAATCACCCCACACTTGAGTCATTGGAAGTCTTTTCTTCCAGGATTTGCATGTATTTACCTCCATTCAGTCAACTCTGACCATCTTATCTGTAAATTCTAAAAAAGAAAAAAAAAATCCCTATAATGCTACCAGGATCACACAGATGAACTCTATCAAATAATTTCTGCGGAGAGGACAGGATTTTATTTAAAGGTTTCATTGTGGAATAAGTCCAAATCCTGAAAACAATTTTCCTATTGCTACTTGATAAAACTGATATAATGCTTTATCTTATAAATTCCATGAAAAATCTTTGAAGCTTGTGTTTATAATTGGGAACCAATATGAAAACGTTCCACATGCAGGGTGATTTTCAATGCACTTTTGGATAAACTGTCCGGATCTTGATTAAAACTACTTTCCAAATAACAGCCTGATAGCATCTACCATTTTTTGTATTCTGACTGCACACACAGACACAAAATTAAACCAAAACACAGACATCAACTCTCCTGAAACACAGCTTTAAACCGAAGCAAAGGAGAACAGCTCACTGCCCGCTACAGTATGACAGGATGACAGTGTCACCTTCAGGGTATATTGGATGTTTCTCTGACTTTGTAAAGCCAGAGCAGGTATAAGGTTTCTTCTGACAGTCAAATGAAGTTCAGACTTTGAACAGACTGTGGGGAATCTGTTTTGAAGGATAAGAGGATAAAAAAGAGGGTGGAGTGGTAAAGGCTGGATAATCTATCTAAGGAAAAGGTGAGCAACTAAGCCCTGAAGCAAAGTATCCTGGGAGAGAGATCATGAACGCACTCCAGTATCAATGTAAATTTCAAGCACTGCATGTTTATAAGTCTTATTCTGCAGCAATAGCTCAGATGTTTTTGAGGTTTGATGGTTTTAGCAAAAAGACATGGATTTTGCCCCGGTAACTTTTCTTATTTGTGCTATTGCTGTTAGAGTCATGACTAAGTACACCCTCTCCCAAATGTATTGATTATGTGCAATTTACAAAACAAATCCTGCCTGAAATGAACAAACCGAGAAGATTTCACATTTTAATGAAAAACTTCTTCCAAGACGTCGACTTTGACTTAAAAAAATTGAGAAAAACAAAATTTCCCCCCAAGATTGATGAATGTTAAAATATGAGAAATCAGAAAATGTTGTTTGTGTGAGGTGATTAGTGCATTAAGGACCTATCGTTTATTCCCACATGACATACAAATGTAATTGGTAATCAAATCATAAAATCTACAAAGTAGACATAAAGGGGATTGAAACACTAGAACACTGCAAAGGAAAATCGTTAATAGCAAATGAAGCCTAGGCATATTTGTGATATTTCTAGGCCTTACCTGCCCATCCAGACTGCCACGTCACTCAGATCTACCCCTACCAGTCTTCTTCTGCTCCCAATCCTTCTTAGCAGCCAAAAGGATCCAAGACGCTCCTTTACAAGCTGCCTCATTACAGTGAAGTGTGTCTGCCTTTCCAACCAGCTGTAACCTATCTCCACCTCAGTGTTTAAGGCCAAGAGGGAAAAGTCTTCATTTCTATAGATCTCTGCAGGCATCTGATCACCAAAAACCTTCATATTAATTCATGTCAACAAACTCATTAAATGCCTCATTGTGAGATTCAGTTAAAGTTTCTTTATATAAACTGTTCAATATGTCTGTTTAAAAATAATGAAATTAGTGTTATGACAAAAAATAAATAAATACATGAATAATCTATACTTTAGCCAAGATTCTTATTGAACATTGATCTTTGTGAAGGACTGATGATAAAAAGTTTATAAAAAAAAATGCACAAACCTGTACCCCCTTCCGAGAAGGAACACCTATTAAGCCTATTTCTTTTCGTGCAAGCTCTGTTTAAAAGTTGCTGTTTGCATCGCTCATACAAGCTTACTTTCCAAAAGAATATTTGCAATTGATCCACTATGACTCACGACCGGTAAGAGAAAATGGGGACGAGCACATAGCCTTACATAAACATATCACCAGAATGATTGACAATTAGGAGGACCACTTATCTTGATGATCCACTCGGAAAAAGAACCTCCTCCACTATACCTTTAATCAAACATTTCCGAAAAGAGATGGAATCTGTAGATTTTTTTTTCTTTTTTATTTGAAGATTTTCCTGAGTTAAATACAGCAGAACAGGCCCAAACATGAAACTACTTTGATGTCTATTTGTATATTTGTGTTATTCGCTGCTATTAAAGGTTTTATCTTTTTCCATTTATTCATTATTCTAGTAATTTAAAGACATAATAGTGAACTTCACAGGAATAAATTAATTTGATCCAACATATTTGGAATGCACTCTTTTCTGTAAATCTGTAAAGTTCTGTGAAGTCGAACTTTGGAGCCATTTCAAAACACGTAACGACTGCATGACATGTTAGTATTGCAAGCATTGTTTTATATTTGAAATGCTATAATAAATCATAATGAAACTAACTAAATAATAAAACTGTCTTGAAGACTATATTTGAATTTCAAGTGAAAGTATTGTTTTCAATTCAGGCTCTGTAAAAACTAAACAAACAAGGCATGAGAATGTTAATTAGAGAGCTTTAGAGATCCTGGTAGGTGTATTATGTTACCAGTGGACAGAGCCAGTCTTGCTTTTCCTCAGTCTTCTGGCGGAACTTCAGAAAGGTAGCAAGCTCTTTATTGAAATCTTCCGGCGATAAATCAAAATTTATCACAGAAATGTTAAGTGTGGTTAATTGAAAAACGAAAATGTTTTTAAGTTAAATATGAAAAACCATTGATTGTTGATTCCTAATCAAAAAAAGCGCTATATGAAGGAAAACAATATGTTTAAATGTTTTTACAGCTTTTCCAAAGCAGCACAGACAATGGGAAAAGGTTCATGGTATCGGCATTGCTTTCATTAGAAGCATTAATTTCTTTCCCCCTACGATAATTGCTTCATTCAGGGCTGCACTGACAGGTTTGGACCTTGGAGTGTAAACACAGAGATTAAAGACAGGGCTGTGGAAAACAAACATGCAAGCTGTGAGCTGTGCCTGGTTGTATGCAGGACTAAACCTGGATCCCACATTGGTGAGCTCACACTCATGTGCAGGCGTTTATGCATGCATATCTGTAATTCAGGCGATGTTTCCAGCCGTCCTGCCCGCAGGTTTCGTTCTGGTGCTGCTTCCCTGCTGTGTGTGCCAGGAGATAGAGATTTCCATGGCCAGAGGCCTGCTGATGGAGCATACATGTGTCAGCCATTACCGCAAATTAGAAATCCTTTGCAGCCACGGTTGGATGTTCCACCCCAATTTTGTAAACTCAAGGATGAAGAAGAAGCTGTCACCTATTTGCCATTCCCTGCAGAATCCTTGGAGCCACTGAAGCAGCTCTTTAAAATCATTGCTCAGAAGAAAGCATTTAGCCCAACCTTGGCAAAAATTTCCTATACTATTACAATTCATTACACGTCTGGTGTTAAAAACAAGGAGATTCCAACTGAATTACTTCATATATGAACACTAATTAAATTAAAGTGTTATGCAAAAGTCCTTGTATCCTGCCATTACTTTTTTAATGGTCTTTGTATAGCAAGCAAAAAGTCGTGCAACATTTATGAGGTGGAAGAAAAGGGATAGTTGTAAAATGTTATTAACAAATAAAAACCTAGAAAAGGCTTTGCAAACCACATTATTTGGGAGAACAGAACCAGGTCGTTGGTGTATGTATCACATCTGATTTTGCTCTTTCTTTTAAGCCAATTTGCCCTTAACACTTAAAGTTACTCATTTAAAGGTATAGTGGAGGATGTGCTTTTTCTGAGTGGATCATCAAGATAAGTGGTCCTCCTAATTGTCGATCATTCTGGTGATATGTTAATGTAAGGCCGCCCTACGTGGTCATCCCCATTTTCTTTCTTTTTTTTTTTTCCCCA